AACGGTTTCGGTATATATCATCATGGTATAATGTATTGAAGGGATGCACATTATCTATACATAATCAAATGTGAATTGTTTTACTATAGAATAATATGCTTATTTTCAAGTTTTCAAACACAAACTGCCCGTTTAAGGTCCTGCCACAGCATCTCAATGGTATTCATGTTAGGACTGTGACTCAGCTGCTCCAAAACCTTCATTTTGTTTCTTTGGAGCCATTCAGTGGTGGATTTGCTTGTGTGCCTCAGATCATTGTCCTGCTGCATAACTCAACTGCGCTTGTGCTTTGGGTCCCATGTGTGAAACACAAGGCCCGCGGGCCAGATCAGGCCCGTGACACAATCCTATCCAGCCTGCAGTTGTATTTTAATTTTCTATTAATATTAGCCTGTTTCACAGTGCGCTGCACTATAGTCCCCAGCATGCACTGCAATGTTATGTTCACTTCGACTCTCCTCCCCCAACAACAATCTATGGGACAGCGGTTACACCACAATTCCACACCAGTCGCATCACCGAACACACTAGCTACATTTCAGCTGCAGTTCAACCAACATAAACACCTAATGCCAGTTCAGCAGCTCAGAAACTGAGCCTAAGTATTAACGAACTTGCAGCAAAGAAAGGATGCCCAGTGTCTAGTTCAAGCAGATGAGTAGGTGTTAAAAGTTCCTGAGGACATTTGTATTTTGAATACTTGAATATATTCATGTAATATTTCAAGGTCTACTACAACTGCTTATATTTTACTACTGAAGTTTTTGCATATTTTGAATAAACAATGGCCCGTTCGGGTTACAGCACACCATTAATTAAAAATGAAGTATTTTTTTTTTCTCTGGCCCTCGGATTTGTTGAGATTTTCCAATATGGCCCTTTGACTCGTTGAGTTTGACACCCCTGCTTTAGGTCATGAACTGATGGGCAGACATTCCTTGGATTTTCTAATAGAGAGCAGAATTAATGGTTACATTAATCATGACAAATCATCCAGATCATCACACTGCCACCAACATGTTTGACTGTTGGTATGATGTTCTTATGGTGGAATGTGGTGTTAGCTTTACGCCAAATGTAACTGGACCCATGTACTCCAAAAAGTTCCACCTTTGGCTCATCAGTCCACAGAATATTATCCCAAAAGTCTCAGGAAAATAGAAGAAATTGGGAAGGGGGTAAACACTTTTTCACAGCATATGTCTCTGTGAGGCCTGTGACTATGAAGGACACTGTCACATGAGATAAGGACTTGTTTATGTCCATCTCCAAACTATCCAACCAGACCGTTTGGGAACCTTCAAGGCATTGAGCCTGACTGAAGTCACTCCTGCAGAGGGACATCATCTTTGTTGACTGAATCTCGTCAACGACACTGTGTTCAGTTGTATTTCTGAACAAATTCAAGTCTCCATTATAGTAATTGTATATTCAGATTGTCCATTTTACATATAATTTGCATGAACCTAACAAAGTTTTGACCAAATCTATGTTACCTGAGGAAGACACTTGCAGGTGCTCTCACCCCCACCACCACAACCTTTCTCACGACTTTTAGCCTGCTGATTTCTTTGTTTAAGCTTTTGACTTTAAGTGAAGTTAAGCCTTCGTGTTTGATGTGTGTGTTTGTACAAACATAGTGTTCATACAATCTCAACATTATTATTTTTCTCCATTTTTATCCACACTTTTAATAAAGTTTCCTTTTTCATGTTGCTGTAATCCTGAAAATATTTTTCTTACTAAAATCAATTTTACCTGTTAGTTCAATGCATGGTCTTTTCAGTTTTTGGGGTACACTGCATCACAGATAAATCTTTTTCTCAAATAAAACTATTTTGGATTAATGATGGCATTTTACTCTGGGATTTTCGTTCACTTTTAATAAAAACCATGTTTAACAACTGAAAAAAATCTAAAATATTAGATACAACAGTAATAACACAAATGAACAATACAGCTTCCCCCTAAAGAGGTACATGTAAGCACAAAGCCGCAAAACCCCTCTCTGATCCCCGCAAAAACTGCGCTGAATGCTGTTACATTTCCGAATTTCTCAAGTCATTTGACTCATATGTGTGTCTTACACTCGAGGTTTCATCTACGACCATCAAACATTGCCTTAATTTGGTAAATATTACAAGCCATTCATGTTAACAGTATTAGCTGAGAAGCTGCATAAACAGTGTGCATGGAAAGCCAGCTTGTCTCCATGATGGGCTAATGGCTAACAACTAACCACAAGACCAGCTTTTCCTTCCACTTTCTTTTTCTGCTTTTTTAAAGGAATGTCTGCTCCTTCAACAACAAACTGGACTAAATCATCTCAGACTGCAACTCACTATACGGGAGGTGAGGGAATATCAGTATAACTCATACCTTCAACCGGTATACTGGATGAACCGATATTTTGCCCAATACTAGTAGACACTGCCAGGGAAACACAACGACTCACATATTGGCCTTAAAAAACACAGAGTCTATGGTCAGAATGGGCAGGTGCCTTGGAAGTTTTTTTGCAGATTCTTTTTCCTTTTTAACAAATCTGTTTGGGCAGACACAGAACTAACAGCATCAAATCAGATTTTGTCTGAATTCACTACTGGTAACCACTGTGATAGCAGATGTGATAGTGTGGCGACTGTGGTGGTCCACCTGCTGAGTTGATCCACCTGCTGTTATAGATGCTGTTTCGTTGGCACAAATTTTCCAATATCACTCTATGAAATAAGGTCTTAAATAAGCTGCGGTTGCACAGAGGAACTATCACTGTGATAGCTAAAAGAAACTACTGATGTAACCTGGATCAGACGACATCAGGGACCAGACCAGCAGAGAGGACCAATCCTCTTATTTCTGTGCATATATATGAGTATCTATGTATATATATGAGTATCTATGTATATATGTGTGTATATATATATATATATATATATATATATATATATATATATATATATATATATATATATATATATATATATATATATACACACACACACACACATGTTTAAATGTGTGTAGGCATGTATCATGCTTATTATATATCTTTGTGTGTGTGTGTGTGTGTGTGTGTGTGTGTGTGTGTGTGTGTGTGTGTGAGTGTGTGTGTGAATGTATGATAAGCATGCTTACTGTGGCCACAAGATTCTTTAGCTAAGTGGCCCAAGTGGCCATTGCAAATTTTTATTGTTCCTTGAAAGGTGCTTTTACTTTTACGTACTTTTACCTTTATTTCACCAAAGTAACAACACTTTTACTTGAGTATGTGTTTAGGCTACTGGATGCTTTTCAAAATTTACCAGAAATGCTTAATATTCAACACAATGCAAGCCTAAAATACTAACAGCTTGTGTATTCTCAGAAAACACATTAGTCTGTTAACAGGCTTAGAGGCGCAGCAAACCTTGCCAATCTCTGGGTCAAAAAATTGTGTTATTATATATCATCTATCATTTTAATAACATTTATAATCTTTAGTTTTTCCTTTAACAACATATTTAGATCTACTGCTTTTTAGATCCAAAAATACTGTAAATTGCAACAAATAGGAAAATCTCAAAATGCCTAGAATCATGGAAATTCCTATAATTCAACAGCCTAAGCAGCCACCCCAAACACTAGCAAACTGCGGATGCTCAATATACTGTGAGTGTTCTGAAACCATGAAATTTACTAAAGTCACTGATATAGATAAGACAGGGCAATGACAGTGTGCAAGTCTTTCACTAATAGGCTAAATCGAAAAGCATGGCTTGGAGCTCAAACAGGCCTTGTTATAGCTATATAACAGAATTTTAATAATGTCTTTATAAATGATATATAAAGTACTTTAGAATCACTGAAAGGCTATGCGTGATGTTATTGTACTATTAGGTCGATTTTTTATTGACTTATTTGGTCTTTTCTTCCAAAAACTGTGATTACTCATCATCAGATTCATTACTTATATTAATCATCAAAATAGTCTGTACATTATTTGATTATTAATGTATTTATACGTACATTATACATACATATGAATGTATTTATTATTTACTTGATTTATTAGTATAAAAAATAGAGACAAATGTGCCAGTCCTAATCTTCTCTCTTTGCATTTATGAACTGATTATGGTTTTGAAGTGCTGTTTTTCACAAGCTGAATCAACACTTGGAATATAAAATACTCTAATTTTTTAAATATTTACACTCGTCTTACAGCAAACCTGATGCTGCTCAACTATAAATCAACAGCGTTTATAAAAAAATGCCACTTTTCTGGATTACTGTGATGGACTGCATCTAAATTTTGGTACTCCAGGTGATTTTTAAAAATACTTTCTCACCTTCCCTGCTGACAAAACAACAGCACTGTTCTGTACTGTACTGATGCCTGTTTCTGTGAATTACACCTGAGCTTCTCTTGAGTTAGTTAAGCAATAAATGTGTGACATACCAGCTCTGGAAGAGAAGCTTAGAGGGAGGTAAACCAGTCATTCCCAAGAAAATATGATTTGGTCATATATGGACACATATGTCATATATATATGCAAACATTTGACATTTGACATGTTTCAGCCATATATATATATACTTATGCAAACGTGTGTAACACGTCTATTTAAAAATATATGACAGAATAGATTATTCACATATGGATGTAATATATTGCTCAAATATACTAGTGATATCTCCAATATTACTTACATATATGACCATATATTTTGAAATATGTGCCTAACCCTTTCCGTGTGTATATATGGTCATATATCAGATTTCCATATGGTTTAACAGACATAACTGAACACATATAAGGGAGCATAAGTCAAAAACACACAGGCACAAATAAAATACGTTTGTTATGTGGTGCTGCTACTGAATACAGATGAAACAAGCAAGCAGCACATCAGAGTATTAAACTCTCTCTAGCTGTAGGCAGGTTTCGCGTTAATGGCTACTTCTCTGATATAGTAATAGAGACTTTGTCACTATGGAAAAATGCAAAAACATATCTTTACCTGTCAGGGGCGAATTCAGCTCACACAAACACGAAAAGACCTTCACGTTAACTCACTTACTATTCAAACCATGTGCAGCGCCATACTGGCAAACTGCTGTCACCCTGACGCTTCTCTGTAAGCTGTGAGAGGCTGCTGCCCCCAAACGAGCAGGAGGAGGAACTGCAGCATCGACTAACGGAGATTTGCACATCAGAGAAATGAACTTACAAATATTAAAGAATTTAGGAAATTCGAATTTGATCAAGTAGGTGAAGTTGAAGTTAAGCCTAAAAGTAACACTAGTAAATACATTACACCAGTTTTCACTCGAAAGCTTTCTCCAATTTACTTGAAACAATTGCTAGAATTTCTGATTTTTCATGAAGTAGATATTTCCCCAAGATCCCTAGTAAACAACTTCTGACATGTTGAAATTGTAATGATTACATATTCAAATCGATTTCTGAGTATGAAACGAATTATAACACGAAGAACTAAATTTGAACATATAACATTTACCATTAAGAAATGAAATCGTAAATGTGATAATTACTATTTTATCATGTCAAAAGGTATTTTTAATTCATTCATATTGAATGTCTGATGTTGAATATGCTGTTTGCGGCGAGTGGTTTGTTATTAGAGGTTTGTGATGTTTTGCCCAGAAGCTGTGATGATTGTATTTACTGTGAGGGGACAGCAGGGGGCGACACGACCCTAATACAGACTCCACTCCCAACTAGTCGCAAGATGACTACGTCATTAGCGCTGCGCCCACGTTAAATCTGCATGCAGTGAAGTTGGCTAAATCAGCGGGATTTATTTTGTGTAAAGTCAGACATTTCTGAGTAGTTTACAGCTGCCGTTGAAATGGCGGAGGCGATACAAAGGAAACTGCAGTCTGAACTGGAGAAATACCAACAGATACAGAAAGGTATGTGTGTGCTAAAGCGCAGACAGACTGAGCGGAGCAGACACGAAGCTTTCTATTCGTTAGCTTCTTGTTCAGCTTTTCCCGTTCCACCTTAAATGGTACAGCAGTTACATACAGCCTCATGCGCCAGAATGGCACTGCTGCACCATTTAAGGTGGACCGGGGAATTTCGAACATGAAGCTAACGAATGGGAAGCCAACCAAACCCTCGCCAGTCTGACAGACACGACTCAGTGCCTTCTTTACCATATAAAGACTGGTCTGTCCGCACGGCGAGTTTCCTAACTAACTGAATAATGAACAGCATATCAACTCCAATATTCATTTGGACGCTGAGCATTAATATCGAGCCTCCTTTGAACCCAAATGTTATATGTCGAGACTGATGGTGAATAACAGACTTGACGTCTTGCGTTAAAAGATCATTGATCTGTACATTGAATACATTCTCGCTGTGCTGCACTTCACTAAAATCATGTCCGCTATGGAAACCGTCCTCTTAGTCACGGTGCCACCAGAGAGCTGTACACTCTCAAAAAAGATGTAGTTCTATTTAGGACCATGAGTTGTATGTCTGAATGGTTCTTTGCATGGTGAAATGGTTCTTGAGATTGTATAAGGTTCTATAGAGCACCTTTTTAGTCTTCTGCTATTGTTATGATGTCAAGCTTGTAACAATAGAAAAACCGTATTTGGTGCTATATATAATCTATATAGAACCATGTACTAGACATTATTCATCTATCAGAAGACCATTTCACTATGCAAAGAACCATTTAAGTGAAATAGTACTTAGAACTCATGGTTCTAAATAGAACTGCCTTTATTAAAGAACTTTTGAAGTTCCATCTTTTTTAAGTGTGTAGTTAGTGCACAGCTCATAGAAGTGCTGTTAAAGCTGTCAGCTACTGAGCTAATCAACATCAATAGGCTTGAGTGATGTGGCAAAAATATAATATCACAAAACTTTAAAATAGTTTCACGATACACATTAAATAATCCAGCTTAAGTAAATCTTCTTAGAAGGGTGACTGAGCAACTATCCTTAAAACTGACGGGATAAAGACTGACTAGGATGTTACACATTGTTAGGTATAATAGACATTAAACCATCTCTATTTATGCAAAGTTCAAAACTCCAGAACCTCATGATCTGTGTTTATGCAAGTGTTAGACACTGAATACAATCAGAAATGGACAAATAACTCTATTCGTTTGTGCTGGTTTGTGCCGGTTTGTGCTGTAGGAATCACTGTTTGTGCTTGCACCTAATTTGAGAAATTAAACATTTAATTTTATTACCTGTGAGGTCACCCAGCCCCCATCACTCATCTAAATTTTATTACTGGATAGCTTCCAAATTACAATTGCATAAATGTTAATTTTAAAAGCACAAATGAATAAGACCATTTTGGCTCGATTTGGACATTGACTGGGGAGGCTGAGTGATGTAATTTATTGAAACATTACAGCTTTATAACTTGAGAATTAAAAAAACACAGATGTTTCTTTTAACAGCACAAACACAGGATAAACAAGTTAGGCCATTTTTATATACTAATAAAAGTCCTTGGTCAAGATCCCTAACACTACATTTACCTACCTCGGTAACATAACTGTAACATAGAACTGTAAGTTGCTCTGGATACGAGCATCAGCCAAATACCGTAAACATAAAGGAAGAAAAGTTGGTACAACACAGAGAGTTTTGACTAGTTGGACAACAAACATTCTTATGTTACTTTCAACTAAGCATTTTGATAAGGGCTGACAACAGAATGGCAGTCAATATAACTACTTACTTATTGATGTTGAGTAGAATAGAAAAGGATTTTTCAGATAATTAATCTGTTGGAACAGATAGAATGCACCAGCAGTGCCACATTTTAAAAATACTATCAAAAAGTATCATTTTTATTGACCATATATATTGACATTATATATCTAATTAAACAGGACTAGTTATCATCTATTTTAATGAAATGTAGTTGGTCAGTGTTCTTGAAGGACTGACAATATCCACAATATACTAAGAATACAGTTTTGTAATAAAGATCATTGTTTTGCCCAAACCCTAGCTGCCATTTTTGTGGTCTCATGTGCACAACACAGCTGTCACAAATGTACAGTGATTAGAATAATGTTAATATCTATCTAAAAGTACTCTAATCGAATCGTGTGCTTGTTAAAGTTTAAAATTTATGATACAATAAATTGTAAATAGTAACAGCATTTACATAGTTTGAAAAAATATTCATACAATAAAAACCACATTAAATGGAAACTAACTCAAACAATACACACAACAAAATGTATTCATGGAAATATAGGCAATAGCTGATTGAAAAATTTATTGTATTGTGTAGTGTATTGGATCAGATCTTCTAAAAGAAAGAGATTTCTGTAGTTCTGTACTTTTATAATTATGTAATATTTCTGTGTTCCCAAAGTACTGTCTTATAGTTATCTATAATATTTGCATAGTATCTTGAAGTCAATTATGTTAATTTTCTGAATAAAATCTAACAGAATGAATTTTTATTGTCATTTTGATTCTTTGACATTGCTTACTTTATACTGTTGACAGTGCAGTGAGCTTGAAAACCTTTATAATGATCACTTGTATGGGTTACATTGCAGATGTTAGTAAAAGCATGTCAGCTCGACAGAAACTTGAGGCTCAGCTGACGGAGAATAACATAGTCAAAGAGGTAAGAGCAAGTAACATAAAATTATCTGAAGGTTTGGGAATTTCTGCATAATTAAATCACTGAGTTGCAGACAAAGTCATTCAGAGTGGTTTGATGTGAAATGGTGAATGTTAAAGAGAATTACTGACTCAGATTTCTTTACAGTGGTGGTGATATGAACTAGGGGTTGCAATGTTTATAATGCAAATACATTAATTTTATTTTTTTACCCAAAGCAACCAGTAAGCCCACTTGTGTCTTCTGAGTTTCTATATGTCGTATTGATAATAATAGTGGTAAATCTAAAAAAAGTTTTTGTGTACTGTTTTACCTTGCGACACCTTGCATTCATCACTCCGTCATGATGATTAAAGGTTCTAATGCTAGGGCATGTGACTTGTCTTCAATCTATTCCTCAGGAGCTGGACTTGTTGGATAGCCAGAATACAGTTTACAAACTCATTGGACCAGTACTGGTGAAACAAGACCTTGATGAAGCCAAGGCAACAGTGGCCAAAAGGCTGGAGTACATCAATGGTGAAATGTACGTATAAATATAAGCCATGGGCTGCAGTTTATTGTATTGACTAAATAAACAAAAGTTATTTACATGCATATATTTACAGATACAGCTGTGAACACCACTGTGTTTCTTTGACTTTTTCTTCTGCTCTAGACTGTGTGGGCTGAAAACTATTTCTGTTTTGAGATTTCTCATTTACAATGCAGTTTAGTCTCTGAACGGGCTTAATCTTTGTCTGTGGAAACCGCTTTTGTTTCAGTCAACGCTATGAAACGTTACTGAAAGAGATGGAGCGAAAGTCTGAGCAGCATCGTGAAGTCCTGGCCAGCCTGCAGCAGGAGTACCAGCGTGCCCAGGGCCTCCCTGTTGGAAAAGCTTGACTGAAGAATGGATGATGATTACGCCCTTACATTTAGACATCCTTGGTCTCACCTACCCTTACAGACTGATTATTCATGCTTATTCATCATTCAACTACAGAGAATGTTTTTTTTTGTTTGCCAATGTTGTGAATAAATTTTGTTTACTTAATCTGGGCCTTCAGTCACTCTTCTTGTGTAATATTTTCATTTCCTGTGCATGATGGTTAAACCTGATTGAAAAATTTGGTGGGAAATGGTGCTTAGGACGGCGTTACAGGTTACTTACTATAGTTTCAAAATAATATGAACTTACAAAATGCTATAATATAAAAAAGAGGAAATATGGGTTGATTAGTTTATTAATTCATTAATATTTCTAGGAATATTAGTATAAGTCTTCATTCTACTTAAAGCCAAATATTGAGTTTTCCTTGCCTTTTTTAAATACAACAAATTTATGTAGTGTGTAAACACTGATAAAGTTTCAAGACAAACCTGCTACAAAAATAGCCTGTTTGGAAAGAATTGTTTTTGTGATGCCACATAAACTGCTGCGTGTTCAGCCTACAGCAATTTAGCTCTGCCTGTCCACACTGAAGTTATAAGGAGGGTGTCAGGGCAGCCAATCAAAACAGAGGCCATTTACATATGTCAGTCTTAAAGGCACAGTAACCAAAGCAGCCTGTTACATGCTAAGAGAAAGAAAAAAATTAATTAAAATAAACATTGTAAGTAGACCTCAAGGGAAGAAACGTAGGATACGTCTTCTTATTTTATGTTTTCTATTTTAATACAGGTTATGAAATGATACAAATATGTCCCTTTCTGTTGGGTAAGTGGGCCTTTTAAATTTTATTTAAGGTACACAGTTGGACCTTAAGACCATTGTTACTTTACCAGCGTTACCAATGTACCTTTGAGGTACATTTACCTGAATGTTTTTTTACCTGTAGTCACTTGTTCTGATGTGGTCTACATTGCCTGCAGCTGATTTTAAATACAAATTTGAGAATGCCAAACCAATCAATGGTCACCCTTAGTAATCACTGATACATTCTAGTTGCACGAAAACCCTGAAACAGCAGTGACGCAAGCAGCAGAAACTGGGCATTCAGATGAAATTAGCTTCAGGCAGTGTATCCCAGGAAAGCACATTGTGTGTCAGTATGATGGGAAATGATTGCTAAGACCCATTCTGGAAACATAATATGATGATGGTGATGCCTTTGTACATTTTATGCATCTTCAGCAAAACCATGTTAATAGCCAGCAAGACAGGACACATCTCTCTGCAAAAGATGCTTACTATAACAAATCCACCAACAACAAGACACGGAAGAATATAGTCACTGTCTCCCTGAAAATATTTTTTTCTCTATTTTTATTTTTCTTCATTATTTGAATACAGCAGCTGTCCTTCATTACGAATGGAAAAATACAAATGGTCTAAAATTACTTGAGATAATATCTCTTTACTTTAAATGAGTATTGTTACTGGCTCATCCACATGCCGATGATCTCCATGACTGGCATTAGAAACCCCTTTATAAACCCTAAAGAACCATAAAAGACCACCACTGCTGTAGAGCCTCACAGCACAGATTGAAGATCTACTGAGGCTTAAGCAGTTAGACCACTACTAAATGCAGATGTGGTATAATAGTTTCCACGTCCTAGTCTTGGTTCAAAGATGGTTGATTCCACTAATTATCTAATTAAAAAGTCATACACGAATGTACAAATGTGTAGAGCAGGGCTACATTGTATCAATTTTATATAAACGCAGGGCTACATTACATACATTTTATATATAAACTCATTACATAAACTCACCATCCACTTTATTACAAACATCTACTATGTACTTCCAATCACTGACCACTCTATGAAGTCCACCCAGAGGCAAAGCTAAGAATAAGCATGGCCACCTGTCTGGCCACCCCAGTCATGCAAAGTGAGAGAGTCAACCATCATCAGTCAGCCATCACTAATAAAGCATCAGTTATGCCTTATGGTGAAAATCTACCATCAGGGTAGTTACCAATCAGTTATGAGAGTGTGATGATGCTGCATTGAATAATTTGCATATCTTGTTGGGATTGTCTAATTTGCTGAGGAAACAGGTGAATGAATGTGCACTGCTCTGTGAGCTACATTGTGAAATAGGCTGTATGATGGTGAGATATGTTAACTATCAAAAATGACTCAGCCATAATTGATTATCATGCTAGTTTCTTTTTACAGCTGAATACTTGTATGCATTGTAAGTGACCTGATTCAGTGCTGAGCTGTCCAATCATTAGCCTAAATTAATAACTTCTATGGTTTGTCTATATAAAATTTTCTTGCTTAAAGTTAACATTGTGCACTAAAGAAGTAAAGAATTTAATTTACTCAATTCAAATGAATTAGCAAAACAAAACTGGGACAGGCAGAAAACCTGACAACCACCTTAGGTTCTACGACACGCTTGGAAAGGGAGGGGTGAAGCAGGGGTATTCAGTTGGTTGCAATCTGCAATCTCAACGCTACAGGCCACTAAATCTTACACCTTTAATAACTATCTAACGAAGTTGAAGACTTTATGTGGATTTCATAAAGGTTGTGTTATTAATCCAGTTGCATCCAAACTTTAAACCCTGTTTGAGAAAAGTCAACATTACATTCATAACCATCCTTTAACCCTGGGTTTCATTACTGGTTAATGCAGGGGTGCCCAATCCTAGTCCTGGAGATCTACAACCCTGCACAGTTTAGCTCCAGCCCTAATCAAACACATCTGATCCAGGTAATGAAGGCCTTCGGGGCATCTGAGTAACTCTCCAGGGTGGTCAATCTCCAGGACTAAAATTAGGCATCCCGGGTTAATGTATATTAACTTTAGCACAGATTTAGACTTTAATCACGGATTTGTTAAGCCATGTGTAAAATGAACCTGTTTATCTCCAGCTGAATTTACTGTACCATCAGAAAGTGCAGTTAGTCTAAAATAATGAACATGCGTCTAGTTTTTTTGATTGCATATACTTTTGTTTACAATCAATGTTGGATTTTCTGGTGTTTTGTTAAAAATCAATGACCAAACGACTAAATGTAATATACTACATTAAGCAATCACATTTTATGTATTGATCTTTTTGAAAAATTCTATAGTGCACAGTGAAGCTCAGAGAACATATGGAGCCAGGACAGTTAAAATTTCGGAGATGGTCATTAATGGGTTAAGTGGAGCAACTGGAAATGAAATAAAAGCTGGATTAGATTCTTGATTAACTCTGAACTCGATTTAATTCACCCTCAGAGTGGGGAAAACACACAGCAGTGCAGGGCTGTGTATTGACACCTGAGCTCAGCTTTCCTGCGTTAAAGCCACGTGTGGTCAGGCGAGCCGTGTTGCTCTAATGACGGGGGCAGGCGAGCGGCACATGGCACAGCTGTTCACCCAGTAAAGGCATTCAGAGTGTGTGTGCGCCCTAATGCCTCTCCCCCACCCCCACCCAACAGGCCATTAGACGCAGAATGAAGAACTGATGAGGCAACATACGCCCGTATTGTGGATCCGCACCTCCAATTAATGTCCCGCGGAGGGAGACTGGTCCCCCTTCATTTCCCACCCGCAGGGGCTTAAACGGACATGAATAAAAGGCATTTAAAAGGACCGCGCGCTTTTTTTTTTTTACCTAAAAGGGGGGGCTCGGCCTTTTAGATCAGTGTTCATTCACGCCCACCCAGAGCTCAGCATCCTCAGCTGGAGCGAGAAGCCTATAAAAGGATTAACCATTCATGAGACCAATAACGCGCCGCGCTAATTAAACAGAATTTAAATGGGTTTAAATGTATCTCATCTTTACTGTTTTATTAGTTAGAATAGTTATCAAAACCACTCGCGTCTTTCTATGAGTATAATCACCGTGACTCGTTGTCATGGCTATGGTGCACATTTTAAGTATAGTTACGCTCTTTTTATCGCCACAGCCTTTGTTTAGGTCTTAAACCCATTAATGTCTATATCTGATCGAACCATAACACATCATATAACATTTCACACTTAACGTATCATGTTCAGTCTAGTCTTTTGGGCACTTTTGAAAACAACATGAAATCCCTATAAAAGTATGAAAATTACATGTAATGACACTGTTGCCTCGAAGATAAATACGTAATTTAACATGTACGAACTGTGGCCTGTATTTGAGTTACTTAATACTTGAGTTATAATTACTTCATTTTCGGTGATCCACACTTCTTCAGCAAGCAAGCTTAACTCAAACAGCACAATCAGTTTAAATGGTTTTCAGCTGAGCTGACAGTCCGAGTTCTGATTCCTCTTGAATTAGTTAGATTAACTTTAAACCGCTAAGAATGCTGGGAAGGTTTGGGGTAAAAGACTTCAGTCTGTAGAATTTTTCTAAATTAATTGATCTTAACTAGCTTTACTTTAGTAACTGAGGTACAAGAAATGGTAAGACTTACTCGATTTAGTACATTTAACAAACTGTTAAAGTAAAACAAAGAAATATTTTGTAATTGTTCTAGTTTATAGTGCTGTGTGCTTCTGAAGCCTCGGTTTTAATGGCTGCGTCCAAATCCGCGTACTACCATACTAAAAATGGTACACCACCAATACAAGTCCATTCATTAGTGTAGTATGTGTAGTAGCAGGCTAGTATGCGGTTTTGGACGCAGCTAATATCCATCCAAGGACACGTGCTGCTTTCCACCGGATGCTAGTATTCACACTTTTGGAACAAATGGCCACCACAGACTGCATACGCTGCACTGCATGTGTCTGAGGCCAACATACAACACGAGGCCTTCTGAGGAGGAGAGGTCAGTCCAGAGGTGACAGCTCAGCTGAGAAACACCGCACGTCCTTCTGTATATTGAGGCCACTGAATAAATGATAATTAACCAGCGTCCATGAGAACTAAACCCTGCCTCACATCCCACGGTGACCACTGTGACAAGCAAACAGACGAACTGGTACTCTGCATTTAACAGACGGTCTAAAGTCTCAACAGGGCTCACCAGTTAACTTCCCTCATCACTACACACACAGCTCGGTTTATCTCCCTCCCATTCATAAAGCACTTCATCCATGGTGGCAGGTTTCAATATACATTCATTAGTAACGAGACATTCATTATTCAAATCTCAAATAGTGTGATC